ATATATATTCGTCCATTAGATACTTTATTTACACTGAATGCGAAAATCAGACGGTTCTTGATCTCCACACACATCATTCTCCCTTGTGATGCGCATTCTACTATCAGTCGGATGCTGTCTGCGGTGACCCCTCAACCAGTTGCCCGGCATTTAGATTAAAACGGAGAATTTTCGGTTTCATAAAACTATCTCTAATGTGTAGCTAGCACTCGTTTGCGTTTGCACACATTCATCGGAGCTTTTTTGTTTCTAGGTTGCGGCACCTCTTGCGGAGAGTGGAAACATGGACGACTTGACTACTCCTCATGTTGTGCGGATGGGATCATCTCTTCTACCCTTCCGTTCTACCATTGTCAGACTTGGAGAGGTTCGTCCTCTGTGGACCGGTCGGCCAGCCCCGGCACAATCTACAGCCACTGGTGAACAACCCAAGCACGGAACGTCAAAAGACCCATTCTCAGAACAGTATGTGCTTACTACACCGGGGGTTTTAAATCGCCATACCATCTGTATTCCGGCCTATTTGGCTCGCCTGTGAGTAAATTTGCTTTCCTCTTGTTTATGCGTTCGCATTAGCTTTGATTGTTTGGTGGGTGTTTTTGACAGCGTTTATGTCACTCTTGTTTTCCCCGATCAAACCATTTTTGGAACATTTTTTCCTGCCCGCACTCCGTCACAATTAACTCCAATCCTTGAAGTTCTGACAAATCATTTTCAATCCTAGTTACTGCACCCAGATTTACAACGTACGCCCCGGATATAATGATGGGATCGGCAAAATGTGGCGAAACAAAAGCTGGTTCTTGATGTGAGCTTTCATCAAGGGTTTAGCAAGGCGTTTTTTGGAAATCTCGGTGGACATTTAATTTTGTCGCGTCTGTTTTCGCCTATTTTTTACTCTCAAATGATCCCCGTAATGTCTTAGTTTCGTTCTGGATGGTATTGATCACCTGCTGATTGGAATGAAGTTTATTCCATCCGCTCAGCATAATTGTGCTGAAGAACATTAGTGTATACTTGAGCCGCCGGAACATTCAATCTCTAAAGTCAGAGTACAACCTGTATTAAGTCATACATAGATAAAAAGTAAAAGCAATGTATATTTTTACACCTCTCTGTGAGGCATCCGTACAAATTATCAGAACTGATTGGGTGCCATCCATTTCGGTAGTGTACTTGAAGATCGAAGCCACCATCTTATCTGCCTAGTCGCAGACAAATCAATGTTTTCCGTGTGTGGTCAATATTTGGGGCAGCAAGCACTGGAACAATGTAGATTGTTTGAACGTGATGGTGTGGTGTAGTGGGGAAGAACAAAAGCATATTCTGGCTAGTCAGTCCCTTTTGATCGTCCGGCGTGTTTCTGGATCAACTGGCTTAAATCCAACTGCCATTTGCGCTGGTGGCTCTGGACATGCCAGTTTGCTCGCTGTCACTTTCCTTTGCTGATTTGTATGCGTAACCTGTGCTACATGTAACGTTCACTGAGTGTTTTCAATGTAGTCCATCTGCATCAGACAACATCATACTGTTTTTCTCCCTTCCGATGTTCTGCAAACCACTTGCAGACAGTCTGGGTTTTTGTTTCAAAAGAATTACGGTAACAGTCGCACCGACCGTGGGTGTCGGACCATTCTCCGATGAAAATAGCGTTGCAACAATCAACATGCACTCTTTTTTTATATTTTAACGTTTTTCGCACCTCCGTCTTACTTTACCTGCTGCCGTAAACTTCGGTGATCCTAATCACCGTGCCTACGTATACGGTTCATTGAACAATCGAACTCAGTGTGAAAATCTATATTTCTGAAAATATTGATTCTTCGTCGTATTCTTCTTAACCCGCAACACTAGTTTTCAGGCCTAAGCTACGGTTTTGTTTCCCTTTCAGCGCCACCTCAATGGACGCCCACGCGGCATTAATCAAGTTTTGTGATGCTCCTTGTCTGGTTCAATGTGATCCCGAACCGTTCTTATCTCATGTTCTGGTCAAGCGCATTCTGGCTGATGGCACATCTGGTCGTCAAACCCCTTGCCAAGATACGGATTCGAATCTTGGTGTCCCATCAGTGGCTGTTCCAGCAAACTCGCAAACTGCGAATGCACCTTCTTGGCCCTCGGCTTGTACAATCGCCCAATCACCCCTCCTCAATCCACCAAATATTGCTGGTACTTTGAGCCAAGCTGGTGTTACCGATCCCACGCTGCTTTTAGAGGGACTTCCAGGGGCGAACGGTCCTTTGGTAATGTTACATATTTGGTCGGGATCTCCAGAGGCTATCCGACGTGCAGGCCTACTGGAGTTGGCTCATGTCCGAATACTCGTTTTCCGCTATCATGTGGTGAGCGATCTGGTAGATTTTGTAAATTTCATCCATCTGAAGTTGAGCTAACATGAATTGTAGCCACTACTTCGGTTTCCTGGTTGTTCTTCCTAAATAGTCAAATCCTCTATTGAGTTCACTTCATTAGAGTTTTTCCCCAACCTATTACACGGTCTGGTGTGAGGCGAGCGTGTCGCCGTTATTCTATCAGTACACCTTTAGCGTACGAGAGTGATCGCGCCTAAATTAACAAACATGTTAGCATAGGGCTTCCTCATACAGTCCCTGTATCGAACCAAGCAAGCGTAACACTGACGAAATCGCCACTTTGCAGTGTACCACTGCATCACTCCCGACGCCCGATGGTCATTTTGTTCTTGATCTTTGGTACACTTGTCAGTTGCCATATGTGCTTCGTTCGAATCCATGTCCGTTCTGTTTGACACTGGACACTCACTTCCGTTGACGCTCTCAATCGAATTCACCGCATCCATTAGATTCAAAAGTTCGTCGTTTCTGTAGCTTATTCGTACTTTGCTTAAATCTTCCTTTCCTGTAATGCGTCTGCTGTTGAAATCGCTGCAGCGCGCCTACATACAGATAAAGTAAATATTAATGCTGGTTAGAAGTCAAATAACTTGATTGAATCGTTCATGTGCATATGCACTGTACTTTTATTAGACTGCGTGTGATTGCACTGAGCCTGTTCGCCTATAGGCTAGCCTGAGCTGATGGATATACGCTTTGCCCAATAGGAACGCATTTTTGTGAGTAGATCACCAAATTAGCTATCTACTAGTCCATTCATCACCGTGTTCTCTGTTGATTGCGAGTCTACTTCACATGTCATCCTCAGGTCCGTAAGCTTTCAAATGGTGAACCCGGTGAATTGGACTTGGCGGATTCAACAGACGCGCCGACAGAGAATGGAGATGCTCCAGTTATGCATTGCAAGCCGATAAGCATTCCTGTTCATCCAAATCCAGATGATCCATCAGCCGCACCAAGTGGCATGATGATAGGATATTCGGCACAGTTCCGTATCCAGCCCCAGCTTATTGGTTTAGCAATTGGTTACCGTGGCGCAACCATTCATGAAGCACGCGCGCTCCCTGGAGTTCGCAACGTCGACCTTCTCCACGATGGAATTGTGCATATTGAAGCTGAGGTAAGTGAATTTTGGCGTACTTTTGTGTGTGCACTTAGGTTACAACGTGTCTACGAGCCACAGTCTGAGAGACGGAATTCTGTAGCAGACTTAGCAGTCTGGATTCGTCCGGTAAATTCCTGGTCCGCTCACCATAGAGCTTTGAGCGTAATAGAAGCGGTTGAAATCAGTAAAGCTGACTTTTCTGTATGATTAAACTGTCATCGTACAACCTCAGAAGCCAAAACCTCGTCACCACCACCGCAACGGTCAATAAGCCTAACTCGCACATTGGTCGAAAAATCAGGCCACTCGAAATAGCTAAGCGGTTAAAAATCGTTCAGCTGTAGCACCCTTTCAGTGCCTAACTGCCATGCTGCCAGGAGGCATGAGATCTGGGATACTGCCACATTGTCCAAGCCTAGACAGAGAAAGTCGGGAGGCTGAGGTCGGGTTCTAACCGCGGATCTTCCGGTCATTAAATTTGCGCTCTTATCACTGAGCCATCTCGCTCCTAGTGGTTAAGGCGTAAACTTACTGATCGGAAGGTCCGTAGTTCGATCCCAACCCCGACTTCTCAACTGCTCTTGTTTGGGCTTGAGCAGCCTCGTAGTATCCCTCTTGATCGCAATGCGCCCTTGTATTTCTACCTCACAATCGGTCCGTTTTTTGGCATCGACAGGTGGGCTATGGACGATGAGTGTAAATCGGTGTGGCATATTGTAAACAGAAATATGCGAAAATTATGCACATCGAAAAAGATCAGTTTCGATGAAGATCCAAGCTCCACCAGATAAGCTATTTACTGAGGCACCAAGTAAGGTAACGTTCCAAACCGCAGATTTCATCGGATACTCATATGTCAGTGAGTGAGCAGCGAAGTATCGGTGTTGAACACTGATGTGATGCTGCGGATGGTGATGATGGTCATGCAGTGAGCGAGCGAGACACATATCCGACTTTGGTTCTTACCGTTACTCGAGTGATATGATTCCGTTTAGCAGCACCCAGTCTAGCGTTTGGGTATCCGGGTTCTCAGCTAGAAATTCATTGCTGTCCACAACACTAACAAAGTGTTGCATACTTTAATCAAGTGTTCATGGAGCTCTGAAGGAAAGCCGTCACGAAGACAGTCTGTGTCGTCGTCACAATTGTCGATCCTGTTTTAAAGTAAACGATATAAGCCATCGACTCCATTCAGTTAGTATCCACTACTGATCCGGATTCGGTAAAGTGTTGACCAGTCTTTTTTTTAATTTTGATGACGAAGCACCACACTCTTATGTGACGTTTCAGACGGTTGAGGCCTGTCAAGCGGTTCGAAATTTACTTGACTTCACCGAAGCTGAGATCCCCGTTTCACCCAGACTTGCCAGTCGCCTCATCGGATCCAAAGGCATGAATATCCGTAAGTTAGCAGCATCTGCTGGGGTTCGTCGTGCCCAACTGCTCGATCCTCTGATGCGCAAACGGCGCCACCAACAACAGCAACTTAATCGACAACAAGCCGCACCTCTGTCGGACCGCGATCAGTTTGACGCATTCATTGATGCGGGGCGAAATGGACAAAACGCGGATGGAGATGGTGTCGAACACACTGAACATACGGATACTGTGGAGCCGGACGTCCGTAGCGCCAACGGAGAATCTAATGCCAGCCCAGCGGCAAATTCAGAAGATGAAAAACTCCCTCCACCAGCCTTCTATCTTCTTGGCACTCGACCGGCGGTTGCGAAAATGCGTCTGTTGCTGGAGTTCCAGGCAGACAACTGGAATGAACTGGATGAATTGGAGGTACGTCATGTGTCTGCTCTCTGTTCAGCTTTGGAAACCGTTTGTTTATCCCATGCTGTTCTGTGCCAAAATTGGTTTTAGGTGTTGCACTTGATTAACAGTTTGCATCATCGCAGCTTTTTACGCGTCTTACCATCAAGACTCGGGAACCGACCGACTTGCTGTGTAATTCTTCTATAATGATAATTGATAGGACCGGTCGAACCCGGGTGATTTAGAGCGCGGAGGCTGTAGCGTCAGAACCCCGGTGTTTAACCACCACATAATCATTCTTGTTCCAAGAGGGTTGATCAAACTTGGATTACTCTCCACGGTAATAACGAGAAAATCCTGCTATACCGTGTTACCTCCGCCGGGGATTTCTCACCTTACAAACACAGGTCGGTGCAAGACTTGCAGCAACAGGAGTACCCTTACTAAGCACAAACACAAAGTAATTCATGATGAGTGCGTTTTTGGTTTCGGGAACGGTGGAAGGTAGGACACGGGTGGTGGTCTCATTAGTATGCACATTTTTCAAAGGGTAGCTTTCGGAAACCACCTTATTTTCTATGACAATACCCTAGGCGTCAGTATGTAGTATTGGTGTTCCCAACTTTGGAGTTCCCCCGAACAGTCGCTTTCTCGTGCGATTAATAGTTATATGTATTGCAAGTACTATTTACAGGTCCAGTTCATAATCGTGGAACATCTTGCACAACCTTACAAATCGAGCAGGTGAGTCGGGGTCACACGAACCAGGAAAAGTCTCCCTGGTGCTTGGTAGGCGTAGACGCAGATTAATAAGAACTCCTCTACATTGTGAAACCATAATGGCCACAGAACTACCAAGGTTGTTGCAACATACACCGCTCGTGCAGTTTTCTGTCGATTGTTCTGTTGTGTTGGTTGACAACCACGTTCTGAGAACTGAAGCATCAAAAGAAAAGTCAAGATGGATGGATGTCATATTGTCACTGCTGACCACCACTGGTTACCGAATGATATAGTGTCCAGCCGACAGCCTTAAGCTCATGGATTCGGGTACCCGTGGAGCCTCCAGTGCACTTATAATGATTTGAAAGCCTTTCACTGTGGACTTGCCCAGTTGACCCTATGAATGAGTGCCGAATCACAGCTGGTCTGCAATCCACGAGTGGCTTCAATGAGAAAAGCTAGTGGGAGATACTAATAATTGGTTTCAATGCCTTTCAGACCACGCGAAGCAACAGCTGGTTGTTTTTGATGCTCCAGCTTGTCTGTTTTTTTAAACCTTCAGGAAACTCGCCGAAGCTTGTTCACTCAGCTGAGACAGTCAAATCAACAGTCAACGCGAATGGGTTCCTTCCCTCCCACATCAGGACCAGATGCGCCGGCTCAAGGAGGGCCTGGTCCCACTGGGTAAGCTTATCACAGTGATGGTTTACTGTAAACTCCCATTTGTCATCATTGCCTGATTGTTTTTCGCAAATTACCCTATCGCTTGTCTGAGGTCTCAGTGCTGTCCCACTCTGAAAAAATCAGATTGTAGACCAAATTATCGGATAGTTAAAATAAGTGAGATTTTTATTTCGGAACACCTCTGCACGATCTCAACAGGATTTTTCCAATCACCGGGCAGCTCGCCGTGTGAATGGATATCTATCTAACCCTCAATGTAGCTAAAATCCAGCAAATACGAGACTATTCTCGCATCTGAGTATATGATTAAGCAACGTGCGCAAGTGAAATGTAGCTTTCGGTTGACAACGCCCTGGTATAAATCTTGTTGGGAAAAGCGGGCTGACGACCGTTACTAGGTTACAGCATTCCAAGTGTTTGAGATGCGGAGGTTGGGTTCAGACCATCTACCTTGAAATCAATAAATTCGCGCTTTAACCACTGAGCCATCTGGAGCTGTCTAGTGGTCCTTTCTGAGAACCACTCCGGTTAACTTGTGTCGTCAGTGCTCGATCTCTTATTTTCAACTGCCTCTATATAAATTTTCTGAGTGTTCCAGTACCTAACCCACTCAAACCCGTTCTACCTTTGTAGTCCTCGTGGCCGTGGGCGACGAACTTCAGGCCGAGGGGGTTCAGCCGATGGTGCACCGGATCACGACCAATTGCCTCAACAGAGTAATTTCCCTAGGCCCTTCCGTGGACGCGGCCGTGGTGGCCCTGTCAACGGGGGACCCAATGGACGACCATCTGCTCCCACCAATAGATTCAACCGGGAGTCTGATGGTCCATCGCATCCAAATGAAGAACATCATGGTACGGGTTAGACATTTCACATTTCAGTAATTTATCTGTCTTTTTCTTAACGAACAGCCGTCCCCAAGTGTGGTCTCACACCAAATATTTGAATGTTGGGTTTTGCGGTCCGCCATGCCATGCACCGGGTTTCACTGATGGTCGTAGAAATGGATATGGCATATTGATGGTTTTGGTATTGCTCGCTTTCATGACCTTCTTTGAATTGCTGCCTGCCGTAGGTTGTTCAGATGCTTCCTATCTTGCGAAATAGTCCACAGGCATAGTCCTTTGGGAGTCGTATCTGCAGAAACCGGTATAGCCCACAGTGCGGGAGCTGATGTACAAATGGGCCCGGGTGTGCTAGGAGTAATCGCCATCTAACCAACCGCACGAGGTCCGTTGAGCCGTGAAGCACAATGCGCAGTTTTCGCGTTATCGATCACGGTTAAAGTGCATAATTCCAGCTCAGTTTCCAGTCGCTGCAACATCTGTTTGATGAAAAAAACATTGAAACGGTGAAAACATGCTGACTGCCTTCAACATCGATGTACGTGAATGCGGATGCTTGCTGGCCCAACCTTCGTTTGGGACGCCTTTTGTTTTGGCATAAACTTACTCAAACTTATTATCCATAGGACTATCAGGAAACAGGTGTTTGGAGAAACGGCAGACAACTTAGTTGAGTAGCGTGTGCAGCAATGCAAGTTATAGTGGTTCGGTCTTGTGCTGGGCTATCGTCAGCGGAAAAGCGCGTTTTTTATACCAGATTCAGAGTAGCGTAAACTGCGGGTCGAACAACGTGTGACTTGACACAAAAGAATGAGTGTGTGGGTAATCAGTATGCTCTTAAGGCATCCCCACGCCCAGTGCATAGTCCACATGACTCCACCTCTCGTGCTTATCTGGAGACACCGAAGAATATGGCTACTCGCCTTTGCTTGTGAGGATGGCTGCCATCTTGTGGCGCACGCATGTCGTAGCCTGCTCCCAGACCCCTTCCTCTCTTCATTCTTTCATGGAAGTGGTTTAATTAATTGAAATGGTTGTACAGCGTCAGTATTGTTAACCTGCTGTTGTTGCCCGTGATGGTATGGTGACTACTCCTAATGCTTCAAGCTTTTTCTGCCCATCCGTAGATAATATGCCACAAAAACCGGAAGTTGACGACGACCATGCGGTTCATAATGGTTGGCAGCCAGCCCCTCCGAAGGTTGGAATGGCAAACGGATCAGGACCCAGGGGACGCGGAAGAAATCGCCCACGTAACCAACCAGTTAACTCATGAATGCTCGATCTGTGTTGACTGATTGCAACCAACATAGATGACATCGCAACCTTAGATGTTAGTTACCCGAACATACTGTTCTACAAACACGTTCCTGTCTAACATTACGTGCCTCCGGTCCTAATCAGCTTCGCTATATCGCGGCCTTCTCTTTCATACGTGCTTCTGGATCTCTCCGAAATCTGACGTTTTTCAACGCATTTCAACCCACGTTTTAACCTTCATCCTGGTAACATCCCTCAATTCGCCGCCTCGCCTTCAGTCTTCCTCCGATACCCCCCCCCATTTACCTGCACAAACCAACCAGCTTGGTTTCAGATCTTTGCCGAATAGCCGTTTCTTCCCGCTTTTATTGTTACGCACTCTGCAGAAAGTGCATTTATTGTGAGATGAGCTCTTGACACTTCACCGGCAACGGGCACTGTTATCTGATTCGTTCGATAGCGCTGTGGCTTATGATGAGTGTGATACTTTCTAGTTTTCAAATCGATAATTCTGATGTTCTGGTTTTCAGATGTTTTTTTTGTCGACAGGGAATGTTGACAGGTGCTTCGCACATATGTGGATAAAGATTGGGGCGAGTCTGAGCCAACCCGCCAGCCGTGCTATAGAAAGAAGGAACCGATTCTGACGTTCTGTGTAGATTAGATTGTACGAACTGGTGATCGTCGAATGAAAAAGTGAATTCGTCCAAATAATTCAAGTTCGTCGGTCTTCTTTTGGACACCACTTTGCTTCAGACTCCCGGTCTCCGAGTATGCATCCCATAATTCTATCAAGGACAGCTTTGATTAAAAAGGGTGATGAACTGGTGCGGTGACTGATCACACAGGTCATTGGAACTTTTAGAATGTTTGTAAACCGTAGCACGACCAAGGATGGTGGAATAGGGTTTAATAATAATAACAGTAGTTCAGCTGTAGCACTGCTTCTGTGCTTCACTGCCACATCAACCGAAGGAAGTACGAGGACGAAGGTTGCCCAAGACTAGACAGGAGCAGTCCAAATGCAGAGGTCGAGTTCAAGCCACGGACCCTCCCTCCAGCCAGTCAGTTCGCGCCGTAACCACAGCCGTCTGGGGCGCTATGCATATTGATGGAATTCGAGGAGATTCCTCCTTGCTTGAAAGTTTTACTCAGGGAAGTACTGGTGGTCGGTTGTATCCGTGGCACTGCTCATGCATTCGACGTACAGTAGCGCGTACCCGGTCTAAATCGTCTGATACCAAGGAATTCGCTTCTCAGGTGGCGGAATTGAACATAGCATTATTAGGGTAGCTAGCCGGACTATAACACATGTGTCGCCTATATCTCCATGATTGAAATGGTCGCTTTTTGAAGAGAAGTGTAATAATTGATGGCCTAAGTTGCCTGGAACACATCCTTTGTTCCAGAATACGAGGACTCACCGTTGTCTATAAATCGCGCTGGTTGATGCCCTTCCGACCCGTTACTCCAATGATGCCTCAAGACAGTAGGATATTAATGCCCTAACCTGATGTACAGTAGCTGTTGGAGATATTCTACCTAGCGGTCTAAACGCTTGTTTTCATTATGAGACAGATCTTAGGTATAATTTTCGACTAGCTCACCAACAGATTATTCCCTAGATCCTACACTGCTTTTTAGCTTGTCTCACTTCACCCTACTGGAAATACCTCCTGTGTGAGGATGAGATGGCTCCAGCACTTTACTAGGTGATTTCCAACAACAACGCACGATCTATGGCAAGTTCAAGGCAGGTTTGCAACCATCTTCGGTCCCAGCCACGGAACGTTGGACAATCCCAATTGCCCAGCTAAGGCTCCTAGGTGTGCGATCCATGTGTTCAACTGTTGGTGAATCTAACAGCGAGATGTTGAATACGCCGATGGAAATAGCAACAGCTCCGTTAGGCCACTATCAGCGTACATTCGAACCACAGTAGAGGCAGACGTTGAGGAGGGCAGTAAGAAAGACAAACAATTTAAACCTCAGATTGTGGTCACTTTTAAAAAAGCCAGACAGGTGTATTCGCCCACCTATGCTCTCCGTTCATGCGATCAATAGCCAGGGCGATCATACTAACGTCTGGAAGCAAATAGCGTAGCCAAACAGTTTTTCACTATTTGAAGGTACTTGTTATTATAAAGGACTGTTGGTAGTATGAGGAGATTTGGGGTTTTTGTGGAGATTTTATCCTGTAAGTGAAGCCAGTCTGTTCTGAAAAACCGAGAAGTACTGTACAGCTGTTTCATCCTTAACGGGGAACCATCAGCAGTGCGCATCTCACGAAACTCCGGAGTCTCGAACCCGCGACCTCCTGGCTAGTAGTTTGAACACTTAACCGTTCGGCCATGAGTGGCTGATGATTCTCAATAAAGATGAAACAGCTGTACAGTGCTTCTCGGCTTTTCAGAATAGATTGGCTTCACTTACAGGATGAAATCTCCACAAAAATCCCAAATCTCATATTACCAGCAATCTATAATTAGCCCAATGGAAGAATAAAATTCATCTGATGAGTGAAACTATCTGAGAAGTTGTTCGAGCAGCCAGTCAACATGTGTGACCGCGTGATGTGGGTCTCGTGATTGAATAATGAGTGGCGCTATATCCTGTCCAAGTGCGAGTTAATCACACTGCTGATCAGCCGCC